CTAAAAAATGAATTTGCATTCTCGGGTTAGGGACCAACTCCTTTGTTTATCCAACCAACATTTATCTGACAAACGAATTGGAAAGAAAGAGAAAAGGACCAGGAAGAGGAAAAGTAATCCAGAAATGTCCTAAATCAAGTATCAAGAGATAATTAAGAATGGATTAAATCTAAAATAGTCAGTCATTTCTCCTTATTAGAAACATAACAAGAAAATGAGAAATGCACTCCAAATTATGAATTAGAATAAATCTCTCAAAATAACAAAATACAGGTCAGGCATAGTGTCTCACACCTATAATTTTAGCACTTTGATGGGCCAAGTCAGGAGGATAGCTTGAGCCCAGGAGTTTGAGACCAGCCTAAGCAACATGCCAAAACCCCATCTCTACCAAAAGAAAAAGGAAAATTAGTCAGTAGTCCCAGCTACTCGGGAGGTAAGGTAGGAGGATCACCTGAGCTCAGGGAGGCTGAAGCTGCAGTGAGCCATGATCGTACCATTGCACTCCAGCCTGGGGACAGAATGAGATCCTGTCTCAAAAAACATATAAATAAAATAAAATATAGAAGAAAAGAGTCTATGATAGAAGGTAGTAGAAAATTAAAATTTGTCCCATGTAGTATCTAAAGTTGTTTTAATTTTTTTTATTCCTAGGAAACTAAAAATACGTTTTTCCAAATCACTAAGCTGCAGAAAAATAATTTCTTAAATGCAGATGGAACCATTATTGTAATATTGGGACGCGTTTGGATTTCTTCCCATTTCCTTTTATCCTCCAACTCAGCAAAAGCTTATTTTTATGGTATTCTCATGAGATCACCATACATAGCCATAAAACCAACCTATAATGTGTTTTAAAAAAAAGGAAAGAAAGAAAAGAAAGGAGCTACTAGAAACAAAAAAAACTTGTTTTAAAAGACATTTTTCATATTGGATAGACATAAAAGTTATTTTTTTTCACTCCCCAACCAAACTTTTTTCAAACTCCAGGGCTCAAACGATTCACCCACCTCAGTCTCCCAAAGTGCTGGGATTATAGGCGTGAACCATTGCCACCAGCTTTGTTTGATTTCAAATAAAGAGAAATAAGCTTCTAGAGAAAGAAAAGCATGTGTTGAAAATGCCTAGATTAAGATAAGAACGTGAGAAGACCTATATCATTCAACCACGATTTATTGGCCACCCACTAGCTTGCTTTTTCTGCTCTAGGTTTGTAAGCTACCAGGCCTCAAAAGAATGAGGATGCATCCAATCAAATGGTTCAGTACTCATCTCTAGGTTCATGCCTCTCAATCTGGGTTAGGTATGCCTTAGTTCAAGTTGTGTGCCAAGGATTATATAAGGCCAAAAACGAATATGAAACATTTTTCTGCAGTGCTCATTTTATGCCAAGACTTTTTGGGAAAGGTTATTAAAACAATGGTGATATTATAAAGTAGAATGCAAAAGTCATATAATTTTTAAAATAAAACAAGATTTCAAATATATTCCGGGCATGAGGCCAACTGTTTGAAGATACCTGTTTATTCCCTTTGGCTTGAGGGACGTTTTGCTGGAAAGTTTAAGAAGCATACCTCTGGATCCCCTTAAATGAATCTGAAATGCCCAGTGGAAATGCTTTCAGGATGCATAAAAGAAAGCCACCTCAAATAATGGCCTTCTAGATGCCAGTGTCTCAGCTTTCTGAAAGCCTGCCCCACATTTGCATGGTTTTGATGCAGGGTAGGTGAGCCTGAAAGTGGAGCTTGTGCCATGAGGGTTCTTGGCTTTGCCCAGGAAAGAATTCAAGGGCAAGCTGGAGGTAGAAGGAAACAGCTTTATTGAAGCAGCCGTGTTACAGCTCCGGGACTGCTCCTGCGGTGCAGGGCTACCCCGCAGGCAGAGAGTAACAGCTCAGGGCAGTTTTGCAGTCATATTTATGCCCAATTTTAATTGCATCTAGATTAAGTGGCAGTTTATGCAGACATTTCTAGGAAAGGGGTAGTAACTTTGGGGTCTTGCCATAGAAAGGGGAAGTAAGTTCAGATGTTGCCACGGCAACAGTAAACTGACATGGCACACTTGTGGGCTCTCTGATGGAAAGCTGCTTCTGACCCCAGCCCTACATCTGCTAGTCTTCAATCTGGTCCAGAGTCTGAGTGCAGCCTCTGGAGTCAAGTTCTGCCACCTATCTCAGTTTCTCCAGCAGTCTTGGCCTCCATCTTTACAACATTTCTCATCTCTTAGTCCCCATCTCAAGCCTAGGCTTCAAAATCAGAGTGCGGATTCCCAAGTCCAACTTGGACCATCCATTCTACCATCTGAATATTGAAGGTAAATGGGTTTCTGTGCCCCACCACAGCCAGGGCAGCACTGAGCTTCCTGGGAAAGGTGATGAGAGCAGCACAACCCTGATTTGGGCAAGCAAAGGTTGGGCTCTGCACCAGAAATTCTACCAGGAGGGCCAGATAAGTACAATATATAGCTTTTATATTTTCCACTCAAATACCCTGACATAGTACACTCAAACTATCTCATAAGTAAAGAGAAAAACATGTTTGTTTTAAAAAACTGATTGATAGTCACTGCAATGAAAGGGCAGGGATTAGTCTGTTCTCACACTGCTGTAAATAAATACTTTAGGCTGGGCAAGGTTGCTCACACCTGTAATCCCAGCACTTTGGGAGGCCAAGGTGGGCAGATCACCTGAGGTCGGGAGTTCGAGACCAGCCTGACCAACATGGAGAAATTCCCTGTCTCTACTATAAATACAAAAATTGGTCGGGTGTGGTGATGCATGCCTGTAATCCCAGCTACTTGGGAGGCTGAGGCAGGAGAATTACTTGAACCCAGGAGGCAGAGGTTGCAGTGAGCTGAGATCACGCCACTGCACTCCAGTCTGGGCAACAAGAACAAAACTCCATCTCAAAAAAAAAAGAAAAAGAGAAAGAAAAATGCCTGAGACTGAGTAATTCATAGGGAAAAGAGGTTTAACTGGCTCATGATTCCACAAGCTATATAGGAAGCACGGCTGGGAAGACCTCAGGAACCTTTCAGTCATTGAGATGGATGGTGAAGGGAAGCAGTCACGTCCTACATGGCTGGAGTGGGAGAAAGAGAGAGAAGTGGGGAGGTGCCACACACTTTTAAACATTTAGATGTCGTGAGAACCAGCACCAAAGGGGGAAATCCGCCCCCCGACCAACTGGCTCCTACCAGGCTGAACCTAAAACATTGGTGATTACAATTTGACATGAGATTTGGGTGTGGACAGAAATCCAAGGCATCTTTGCTGCTTTCAAGTAGTCACGATCAAGGATGCATCTAAAAGTAGGAAGGAAACTAATGCTCACAGTCTCTCTACACATGCACTGTGCTAAGAACTAAGCAGTGGCTTGCATCTCACATAGTATAGTAACCATAAAAAGTTATTGTTAGCACCATCTAACAGATGAGTAAACTGGAGATTCATATCCGGGTCTCTCTGGCTCCAAAGTCCAGATATGTGATCTTCTACATTATATCACCTCTCCCAAAATAATTCTTTGATTATTCTGGTGAGTTCACATCAGTCGACATTTGTGCAGACCAGGAATTGTGGTAAATGCTTAGGAAAAAAGATGAATAAGAGAGTATAGTTTTCTTGTGTGGTTTACAGTTGAGTAGAGAATTCTGAATTTTAAATGGATCGTTTTAATAAAGTTGCTCATTAAATAACTATGTTCTATGCTCCTAAAATTCTGACAATCTTAAGATGCCTTCTCAGATCCCCCAAGACTAGCTCTGGTGTCTCTTTGATGTGCTTCCAGAGTAGCATGGACCAGCCCCCATCACAGCTCATAGCATACCGTATGGAAACAAATCATTTCTTTTCTTTATCCCTACTCTGTTTCACTGTTAGATTCTTTGAGACAAAAGTTGAATTTTATTTATTCTTGTCTCTGTAAGACCTATCCCTGTAAGAGAGATAGAAAGGACCAAAAAATTTTGTCAAATGAATAAATACATTTTCTATTCACTAAATTAACTGTTCCAATTTATTTTTGAAACCTGATTTCCAGACCATCTCCCGACCCCCTATGACCACCACCTAAGCTGTTCATCTTTAAATTATCTCTAGCTTCTTGTTATCCCACTTAAAGGAGACCTGAGGACACTCTATGACCTAATAAAGCACCCTATGTTATCTGCATTCAGTAGCCAAGGCACTCTATGTGGTATTTAATGAGTTAGTAGTATTCATTGTGATTGTTGGGAATTATGAGCAGGACTGATAGTAAGTATGCATCAGTCCGATGTAGTGAGTGGTGTCCTCTCTTCCTGTAAGTTCCAGTGCCATTCTGCTGGAATAAGATATTAAGTATGATTCAAGCTGGGAAGGTATAATCAAGGTAATGGAGATGCCATGAACAAATAATCAATTACGATTTTTTTTTTTTTTTGAGATGGAGTCTCACTCTGTCAGCCAGGCTTGAGTGCAGTGGTGCGATCTTGGCTCACTGCAACTTCTGTCTCCTGGGTTCAAGCGATTCTCCTGCCTCAGCCTCCTGAGTAGCTGGGACTACAGGCGTGTGCCATCATGTTCAGCTAATTTTTGTATTTTTAGTAGAGACGAGGCTTCACCATGTTGGCCAGGCTGGTCTCAAACTCCTGACCTCAGGTGATCCGCCCGCCTCTGCCTCCCAAAGTGCTAAGATTACAGGCATGAGCCACCACACCTGGCCACAATTACAGTTTTAATAACTGTTAAAGGCTGTGAGGAACTTGACCACAGAAACCATTTCCTGTCATGTTTAGACTCCTGGCACAGTGACTGCTGCCTGCAAAGACATCCAGGCTTTGACCATTTCTCAATGCCTCCATTGTGACATCCTGGCTTAAGCCATCATCACCTCTCCACTGTCTTCATACAAGAGCTTTTTTTTTTTTTTTTTTTAATGAGACGGAGTCTTGCTCTGTCACCCAGGCTGGAGTGCGGTGGCAAGATCTTGGCTCACTGCAACCTCTGCTTCCCAGGTTCAAGCCTCCTGGGTAGCTGGGATTACAGGCGTGCGCCACCAAACCAAGGTAATTTTTTTATTTTTAGTAGAGACGGGGGCTTCAACATGTTGGTCAGGCTGGTCTCAAACTCCTGACCGCATGACATGCCTGCCTGGGCCTCCAAGTATTACAGGCGTGCTGGGATTACAGGCATGAGCCACCGCACCCAGGCACAAGAGCTTCTTAGTTGGTCTTCCTGCTTCTGTCATTGGCCTCTGTGATGGTTAATCTTATTTGTTAACTTAACTACACCCAGATATTTGATCAAACACTATTCTAGACATTTCCGTAAAGGTAATTTTTAGATGAGATTAACATTTAATCAGCAGACTCCGAATAAAGCAGATTGCCCAGAAACGTTCTTTCCCCTGAGATCTGCCTGGCTCTCTCTTTCATTGCCTTTCAACTGTTGTTGCCTCTTCAGGAAATTCTTCCTTAATCACTATTTAAATCTCACATGCACTGTCCTCTCCACCAGCACTCTCATCCTTATTATGCAGCCTTATCTTTCTCTGTAGCACCTGTCACCTTCTAACATACCCTATTATTTATTTATTTCCTGTGGGACTCTCCTTACCACTATGATGTAAGCTGCATGAGGGAAGGGGCCTTTTATTCCCAGCCTACTAGAGGCACTCAGTAGTTATTGAATAAATGAATAAATAAATACATTCTGCCCCCAGGAAAATTATCACTTATATGTTTTCTTTGCATCTTCAAATTTTCTCCTTTATCTCTTTCCTGTAAGCATTTAAAATATCTGCAAGATTCCCCACTTTAACAAAACAAAATAAGATAACAAAGACTAACAATAAACTTTTTTCTATAGTTTTATTCTTAGTTCTCTGCCCTGATCATCTTATACCATCTCCCTGGATGACTTCATCAAGACCCTGGTTTTGAGCCATGATATGCTGATGACATCCATATAAAGATGTCCATATGTGACGACCAAATATGGTCTCTAGCCCAGCCCACTCTTCTGGAGTTGTAAGTTCCGGCAACTGCCTACTATGCATCCCCTGTGTGCTTCACAAGCATCTCAAACTCAACAGTTCCAACAATGAGGCCAAAAGAATTCCCCTAATTAACCTACACTTTTAGGCAATAGCCTGTATATGACACCCATGTCCTACCAACTGGTCCAAGCCGGAAACCCAGGTTCCTTTATACCTCCTCCCTCTTCCTCACCCCCAAATTTAAATTTCTATGACATTCTTTCTATTTTACCTCCTAAATAGTTTTCAAACCCATCTGCTTTCAGGGGCCAGCTCAGACCCTCACCGCTTTTTGTTTCTATGACTACCCATCCCTTTAACAATCCTTCCTCCTTTCTTTTTTTTTTTTTTTTTTTGAGACAGGGTCTCGCTTTGTCACCAGGCTTGAGTGCAGTGGCGTGATCTCAGCTCACTGCAGCCTCCACCTCCCTGGTTCAAGCGATTCTCCTGCCTCAGCCTCTCAAGTAGCTGGGCTTACAGGTACATGCCACAACGCCCAGCTAATTTTTGTATTTTTAGTAGAGACAGGGTTTTACCTTGTTGGCTAGGATGGTCTTGATCTCCTGACCTTGTGATCCCCTTGCCTCAGCCTCCCAAAGTGGTGGGATTACAGGTCTGAGCTACTGCACCCAGCCTTTCCTCTTGTCTGTTCCCTACCATCTTAATCCATTACAGCAGCCAGAAGTGATCCCTCTGAAATGCAAACCAGATCCTGTCATAAGCCAGCTTAAAACCCTTCCTTGGCTCCCACATAATTCCAAAGAGAGTCTAAAATCTTTTATGATCCAAATTCAACCTATCTTTCTCACCACCTTGTTTCCTGCCATCTCTCTTCTACTCTAGACTTTTTTCTTTGCTTTTTTTTTTTTTTTTTTTTTTTTTGAGACAGAGTCTCACTCACTCTGTTGCCCAGGCTGAAGTGCCGTGGCTCAGTCTTGGCTCACTGCCACCTCTGCCTCCCAGGTTCAAGTGTTTCTCCTGCCTCAGTCTCCCAAGTAGCTGTGATTACAGGCGCATGCCACCATGCCCGGCTAATTTTTGTATTTTTTAGTAGAGACAGGTTTTGCCATGTTGGCCAGGCTGGTCTTGAACTCCTGACCTCAGGTGATCTGCCTGCCTCAGCCTCCCAAAGTGCTGGGATCACAGACGTGAGCCACCATGCCTAGCCTGTATACTTTTCCCATGCTAAAATGAATGCAGCTCCCCACACTTCATCCCAGCAGTCATTCTTGCCTTCATTCATGCTGACACTCTGCCTGGAACTCCGAACTCCCTTTTAATTTACAGGGCCAGTTGTACTTATTCTTAAAGACTCCCCTCATGTGATTTCCTCTTCAGAATGATTTAGAGACCAAGGTCTCACAGCATCACACATGTGTTTCTACTAGCATCTATTACCCGAATTGAAGTTGATTTACTTATTACCTACATTTTTCTAAACTTCACATTTTTCAAGAGCAAGGAATATGTCTTTATATATATTTTTTAATTCCTCATTCTTAGCTCAGTTCCTAGCATAGAATAAGCACTCAATAAATCTCATTTAATTGTAATAATGATTTTCTTATCAGCTCCTAGCATAGCATAAAGCTAAATATATCTTAGTTAAATGAAATAAATGGAATGTGACATGCCGGGGAGCTTGAGAGTGAGGCAACTTCACTGAGAAGCTAGGAAGAGGATTCTAACATGGGGATGGTGGATGAAGACTCCTCTTCTGTCTCTGCAAGGGCAATGTGTCAGAAATGGAAATCGCAATTCAGAGCTGTGACTGGGGTCGCAAGTGTAGATGGGAAGGAAGGAATTATTTTTGAAGCAGGAAGTTGTGTCAACAACTAACCTCACGTCACCCTAACGGAAGTTTTCATTAACAGGGAGAATAAAAGAGTAGTTATTTGGAGATATTCCATAGTTGTGGGGTAGAGACGACAGGACTAGTGGCTGCAGAGGAGAACTTGAATGCATGCCAAGGAGAATGCCTCATCCATACCCAAGAACCCTTCTGGAGTAATGGTAGGAATGGAGACTGAGATTCTGTTGGCTGAGGGCTGAAGTGCCAAAGATGACTTACAATGTATATATACAAATTCATGGGTTAAATGTCTAAATAGGACATACCTCTTATTGGAATTCCATTGACATCACTTCCTCTACTAGAGGAAGCTCCTCACACACAAAGTAGGAGAGGCTGTATGCAACTGTCCAAGTGTAGGAATTGGTATAAAATTGTGTGATCAGCTAAACATGGGAATGCTATTATTTTCTCCAAGTCACTGGCCACATATTTGAATACAAAAAGGGCAAGGACAGCGCTCTTTGCCACAAGACTCAGACTTCTTTTCAGTTTGACATCAATAGGGGCCCGTGGTTCCACATACTACTAATTGGTCTGATTGTCATCCAGCCTTATTTGCAATGCTATTACAAGAGACCTTATCAAATGCCTGGATGAAATCCCCTTACACTGTGTTTACGGCAGTGTGCTTTATGAAGTTCTGCAAAGGTGAATTTGGCAGGTATCTGAACTTCTGTCTTATCCAGTAGAGTACCTCTACTAGAAACTTCTTTATATATTCAGATATGGGTAAAGATCTTAATGCTTTTTTTAAAAAAAGAAAAAAAAGCACATAAACAAGTTATCTATGGCATCAACCAATTTAGCAATTTGATTTAAAAAGGAAACTGGGACAGTTTAGCATACTCATGATTATCATACACAGGTTGGTTCATACACAGAGTCATCATGATTTCCTTTCTGAGGACAACTAGTAGTTGAATTTGGAGTCAGACAGATGTATTCTGTGTGCCAGCTTTTCTGCTTATAAGCTATATCACTCCCAGGCAAGTTACTTAAATTCCTCTTGGGCCTCAGTTTTACCTGCAAAATGTGTATAGCACCAGTTGACTGTGTTATTGTATGGATTAAACTATATGTAAAATTGCAGAAGAACCCTAGCACATTGGAAGGTTTTTTTCAAATTAATCCATTCCAAAAATTTTTTAACTGCTGACATCTTGCCTGGATGATGCCTGGGTATCTATACAAATCAGAATCCTTATTTCCCCCATTTTGAAATCAGAACATTTTCCTGTTTGAATCATCTGGCCACTCTGTGTTCTCTGTTCTTTTATTTATCTGCATATATTTATTGAGCACTTACTCTACACCAGGCAATGTTCTGGATGCCGGAATAAAGCAGTGAATGAAACAGATCAGGCCCATGTTCTCAGGGAACTCATCTAGTTGCTAGATTAGTTCAACTTTAGAACTAATCAAGTTAAAGTGCCAAAGACTATCAATGATTTAATCACCGAGAAATATAATTTATCTGGAGTCAGAGATGAAAATGTATTTCTAACACCTTGATATTCTCTTGCATATACTTTTCTAACTTGAATTCAGTTTTTCTTGTGAAGAAATTTCATATTTTTCAGTTTGAAGATCAGTCTTCCTTATAGAGGACAAAGACAGAATGAGAATTGCATAATTTGATTTTCTTTATATTAATATTTTCCCAGCTTCCCTAAGCAGTGCCTGTCCTTTCTGGTTCTTCTTCATGCTCTGAACATAGTGTTCAAAGCCCTTTAGCTTCTTCTACCTTGTTCTGTTGTAAGAGTCCTGACAACAGCTAGTTATGTTCGGTTTTTTTTTTTTTTTTTTTTTTTTTTTTTGAGACAGAGTCTCATTCTTTCGCCCAGGCTAAAGTGCAGTGGCGTGATCTCAGCTCACCACAACTTCTGCCTCCCAGGTTCAAGCAATTTCTCTCGCCTCAGCCTCCCAAGTAACTGGGGTTACAAGCACCTTCCATCACACCCAGCTAATTTTTGTACTTTTAGTAGAGATGGGGTTTCACCATGTTGGCCAGGCTGGTCTCAAACTCCTGACCTCAAGTGATCTGCCCCCCTCAGACTCCCAAAGTGTTGGGATTACAGGCATGAGCCACCGTGCCCAACCTGTTTGTTCTTTGTAGTAGGCCCTTTGCAATCTGAATCTGTGAATAAATATCTGAGTTTATCAGAGACCTCCTGGCCGGTCATAATGATCAATGCTGTAGCACTCCCTTTACTTAATTTAATTATGTGGTAGATTTTCTCTCTCTCTCTCTCTCTCTCTCTCTCTCTCTCTCTCTCTCTTCCCCCTCTCCTCTCCTCTCCTTTAGATTTCTGCCCAAAAAACTAAAATTTTATAACTTTCTTCCTAAAATCTGAGATCATAATAATTCTTTAGACCCATGCTGGGCAAAGGTAGCCACATATGCAATTATACATTTTCTAGAAGTTACATTATAAAAGTAAATGAAATATGTAACGTTAATTTTAATAGGTTTAATTCAATCCACTATTTAAAAATATTTACATTTTAACATATAATCAATAACATCATTAATGATATAGTTTGCATTCTCCTCTCTTTGTTCTGAGTCCTCAAAATAAGGTATGTATTTTTGTATTTACAGCACATCTCAATTCATACGAGCCCCATTTCAAGTGCTCAGTTGCCACATGCACCTAATTAGCACTCCTCTATACCCATCATGCAAAAGCTATTCATGCTATCCATTATTTCCTTTTAATATTGAGTTAATGATTTCTCATTAAAGCATTTGGTTAGTAAAAACCATGACAAAGAACTAAAAACCCCTAAGTTCTAAAACTGAGCCAGTGTGAAGTAGTATTTGTTGTATCATGTGCTCAAGTCTGTGACTTTTGCTTTGTCTCTTTCTCAGAACTTGCATATGAATGCACCCAACAATATCATTTGACATACTTAGCAGCTTAGTAGGGGGTCACTAAACATCTCTGCTCTCCATTGCTTTGCATCTGTGGTGTCCTAGCTTGCTGTTAAAAAACACAGCAGATTAATTGAGCTTTAAATGATATTCTACAAATAAACAAATTGCAAGATGTTTGATCTCATTAATAAGCAAATAAATGCAAAGTGAAAGAACAATTTCTGAGTCATTTTAACCTATTAATTTAGCAATTTACCTT